TGCTTATTTTCTTTGTACATCTTTTCTAAATTAGCACAATGAATCTGAGTAGTTCAACACCATCTTTTGGATCCTCCCTGAACATAAGCACTCATAGGCTTCCGTTTGTTTGTTTTTTGATTATACCACTAAGGTTTAGCTTTCTCAACTAAAAAATGTCAGGTCCATACCCTAGCTCCAAGGGCAGCAATGGAGCATCCCGTATCCATACTCCCGCTCTCCAAACCTTCTGAAGAGAGCGGCCACATCAAAACCATGCCATAGCAAGATCTGGCCCGGGCTAACTCCCCAACTATGCCCAGGAATTATTTGGGACACTGCTACTCAGTCCAGGTCAAAGTGTGACTTCTTCAAACTTTTAATGTAGATGATCATCAGTAGGAAGGAATCTTCTTGGTTACTGTCTAATTTACTACTACAGATGCAAATAAATGCCGATTTCTATGACTAGACTTCCAGAGTATTATTCCTGAGTTCCAGATATAATACTTCCAGAGTATTTTGTCCAAGGTGCATTTAATTGCATTTCACTGCCTTGTATGGGCACAAATGTATCATGTCTGAACACAGATTAAATTCAAATGGAGCAATTTAATTTCATGTGAATGAAGGATAAATACACTTTACTACACATCTACACTTTATTGCAATGTATTGTGTTTTGCACATATCCCATTCCGTTTCTGTGAACTTTGTACAAATTCCCACCAACAGAAACATACTACTGAGCAGTACTGCAAAAATCACATCCACAATGAACTTCCAAGAACAGTAATCTGTAGCTGCAATTTTTAAATATCTATAATATCATTCATAGGTCAACATACATTAAAGAATCAAAAGCTCCTGCCAATCTCTTTTGATAGGGATGTAGCTTAGTTTTACCTTTTGCTGTCATCTAGCTTGCTTTCAAGGTATTGTAATCTTCTAGTGAAGTTACTTTCCCTGCACTGTTTATTCAAACTTGCAATGTACTATGAAAGCATTATGGTAGCTACTGCAACTGAATTATTGCCATATAACATCTGAGTGTTGGAAATATATCCCTAAACTAGCAGTCAGAGTGACAGATGAATGGTGTTTCTTTTAGTCCTAGGGGAACAAAACTGAAATAGAGCATTCACAGTGTGATGCTCTAAGCATTCCTTTGTATGGCAGTTCAGATTTCTGATGGGATTTTTTTTTTCTTAGTGGGGGAGGTATTGGCACCATAAAACAGATGATAAAAAATGGACATTTACAGTCTGAGTTAGAAGTCAGCTTTGCCATTAAGATGAAAGAAGTTTTAAAACACCTTTGCTTGATTTTAATAATAAGGCATAGTAAATTTGATAAAGGCTCTCATACAAAAATTTAGCAGAACTGGAGTTACCATTCAAGAAATCACAGCCAAAGCTGCAGGTCATTTTAGTACGGACAGGTCACCTGAGAGATTCATAGTAGCAACATAAGGACAGAGAAACTCAAACCTGCATCTCTACCCAAACTGCACAAAAAGGAAAAATGTAACAGTCTTAAATAAACATACACCTTTCCATCACTCTGATTCAGCCATATCCCACAGGAATTCCAGTTCTCTTGAAATGATTTTTATGACACAGAGGAAAGCAGAATTGCAATCCATGTGGAATGTTTTATTTTTGTAGATTCAGCCATCGAAGGCAAAATAGTGGAAATTAAATCCCTGAACACTACCAACCCTGGATATTCCAAAGTGAAGAAGGAGACACTAATCTGTACAATAATAAAGGGATGTTAGGTAGATCACCATTATGTGCTTTATTCTCAGGAGATGGTCACCTGTTATGAAGACAGCTTCTGTGATCTCCTTCATGTGCTCAGTTCAACTACGTGTATGGACCAGAATATTTTATTTCATCTACAACTTTTCTTACTTGGAGGAGCAGCATATCACTGGTTTGACTGCTGTCTTAGGAGGGCATACTACTTGCTGTTATGAAGTGAGACTGTGCTGCCATTACAGCTTTTATTTTGGTTTGGTTTTGCCAGTACAGCTGGCTGATTTATTACTATTCATTGCTATTATTGATATTTTTCTAATGAGTCATCTGATCACAATATATTGACAATATAATCATGCATTATGGCAAAGAATGTGGGTTTTGTTCTTAATGTCTGCTTTGTATTTTAAGACTAATTGTCATTCCTTTGTATATTGCTATTATTACTGTTTCAGAAATAGTTCCTTCACTTCAAATTAAAGCCACAGGATGCATCATTAAGTGCAAAAGTGCATCAGTAATCCTAGAAGAATGTCCTTTCCTTGTAATATGACAGTGGGTGTTTTTCAGTCAAAACTGTAGAATTTCACATTCTCCTTTTTAATGTTTGAAAGTGTCTCGGAGCTTTGCTTACTCCTCCATGGTACAGAGAGGGAATGGACCTCACAAAACTGCAAGCACTCCCATGAAGTTTTAGGTCTAATTTTATAAAATGTTTTAAAAGAAATAAGTATAAACAATATTTGCTTTTTGTATCATAACTGAAACCATACTGCTAAACAATCATATCCTGTTTAGCCCATAATGACATCAGAAATATATGTTTATCATCTGCTCTGGACAACTTAGCATGATTTTGGCCCAAGGCAAAGTGGAACTGAAATCATTTGCAGTTGTCCAAACCAAGATAACCACACATTTCTGAGGTAATTGATACCTAAAAGGAACATTGCCTTTAGATCACAGCTCATGATTTAAGTATACTAATTCCTTAAAGAACGCTGTTAGAATTTTTAAAGTGTCTATTGGATTTCCTCCAAAACTTAGCATGGATTAAACATAATCTACTGCACAAAGAAAGTAAGATACACTAGATTAGCCCATCCACTAACAACTCTTCCTTTAGGACTGGATCACATTTCCCACTATATTTGATTCCTTTCTACCCACCTCAAAGTGACAACAAAATCCAAAACAAAACAAAGCCAAAAATATATTAAACTTTTGGAGTAGCATGTCTCAAGCAATGTTTCATGTTTTGTCACTGAAAAATTAATAAGAAAGAAAATCCACAGTACTGACTTCGTACGTGTATATAATTTATGGATCTATTCTAAAATAAGTAGATCTTGATGTTTTTTAAAAACATGGAAACAGATCAAGAGTTCACAAAATGTAATAAAGTAAAAGAATAAAGAGAAGAATTACTTTTAAATATAGATACCCTACAATTCATGAATAATACTCACGTGAAGAAAAACAAGATGTGTAATCAGATGAAAGAGAAATATTTTATTACAGCAATGCATTCTTTGACAAACAGAAAGTCAGAAAGTGAGATGTGTCCTTGTCTGGGACAGGGAACTTCATATTTCTAGTTACTTGTGTAGTTTTTTAAACTTACAACAAAACACAACAAAAAAACACAACACTGGAATGACAGAAGAGAATGTAAAGAATAGCAGAAAGTTAAGCACATAACAAACTCATTCAAAACTGTGCTGTTATGTATTTTTGTGCATATGATCTCAAAGGATGTGCCTGCATTTATGCAAAACATAACATTTTGCACAAATAAATATGTATGAAAGCAAAGCAAAGAATCAGTTTCCAAAACACAAACAGTGGTTGGGAACAACTGCTCTACAACACTGATTCTCAGCTGCGGACAAACGAGACTTGTTCCTAAACCAAATGCTAAGATAGAATGGATTTTTGATTAGATTTTGAGTAAGCGTAATGGGGAGAAGGAAAGGAAAACATGACTGGGTAAGTCCCAGAAAGAGCAGGATAAAAATCAGGTTATTTCTTACTCAGAATTTTCCATGAATCCTTACGGTGAAATGTGGCCTAAATAGGCAAATATTAAATAGACAAATATTACGGAATGCATCAGCCACCTCATCATAGAAAAGTACCCAACTTCTAGTGCTGAAAGGGCATAAAAAGCACTCTAAAAACAGAAAGTTTCCAGCAGCCATGCATCCTACACCTCTGACTAAAAACTATGGAAATTGGCTCAAGCACTAGTGTGTAATTGTAAGCAGACTTTCTGCACCGTTTTGCCCTCGACAACAAGTTGCCCACACAAGCCGTTATTAGGAACTGCGTGAGAACAAGGGCTATGAAGCATTCTCCATATTCACTGTGGACAGGGCCAGCCTGTTCTGTGTGGAAAGAGAATTGAACCATAGGAACCCAAGCCAGCCAACGTCACCTGCCTTCAGGGCCAGAGAACTGATCCTGGCTGACTTATTAATTAGTCTAGATACAGGCTTTGGATCTTTCTAATACTTCAGAGTAAGCGACGTTCAAGAAGATGCTCCTTAAATAGGGATCACAAAGTCCATGCAGCAACTTCCTATGACGCGGTGCCTTTTGACATTATAGATAAATTTCAGTGAAACCAAGCAAAACTGGTACCAAAACCATTACTGCAGACTTCCATGCTAATAATAAATATTGCTTCTTGATCCAAGTTAGCTTTTTAAGTGTGATATGGTACTGCATTCTGTAATGTAGACATCATTTTTCATATGTACATAGATCAGAAAATAGGTCTTGAAAGTGAGAGGGAGATAAGAGCATTTACTGAAGTGTGTTTGCACAGAAACACATTTTTGTTCATTTTTTCCGAAAACTGTGTTATATGACAAGAATCTTCAACTTCTATTTAGGCATAATTTTCTAATGAGAGAAAGAATGAAAAATAGAAGAAATTGTGAAAGATACATGTGAAATGTTTTTAAATGGAATCTGATTTCTGCAGAAAGGAAATACAAATACATGGCAGACAGAAAGATCCATAACTACCCTTTCATAATCTTCCTTCTCAGCATGTGTGCTTAGATATCAGGAAACATTTGAAGGAATAGGAAAAATATGGAAATAGGATTCCTTTAGACCATCTGGGCAAAAGGAAAAAACATAACAATGATACAATATGCAGCACAAAAAAGACATCAGACCAGCATGATGTATGAACTATTTCACAGTTTTCTCTGCTGGAGATGGATATCAGTAAAACAAAAGAATTACCTCCATCCGCTCTTGCTTAACATCATCAATCTCATCATCTTCAAACATGGCTAAGAGCTCTCCTGTCTGGTCAATGGAGTTGAGAAAGTCTTGAGCAAGCTTCTGCCGTTTGTTTGTGTTGTTGCTGTTGAATTTGTCTGAACAAAGATAAACAAAGAACAACAAACCTAAGTTATTTGGCTACTGCAAAACGTCCCCTAGAAGGGACATTTTTTAGAATTAGATGCACTATACAGAAAAGGCCTGTTCTTACTGTCCTCCCCATATACCCTGTGCTACCTGACCAAGATGAAGTCACTGCTGTAGTCCAGGAGCACTGTAGTAAAAACTCCTCTTCAATGTTTCCTAGTACAACCTAATGTTTTTAGTGATCTAGGAAAACCTAGCTCATGTATTGTTATTTTGCACTGAAGAACCCACAGTGCTGCAGAAGAAACCACTATTCTTTGGTTGCATAAAAACTCATATAATGTAATGTATGGAGGAAACATGATTTCTCATAAGCACACAAAACACCAAAATACACTAATTACCTACAACTTAAAGCAAATCATAACACAAGCATTAAGATACAGCTCCACAGATGATGGACCATTGCTCAACAGTAAAGCCTAGAGAACCCTGGGCAAGGTGATTGATCTCTGTTGTTCTAAACAAGGTAACAGCTATAAAGACACTAGATTCACATGACAAAATTGATGGCTTCAGTTGCCAAAGCCTGCTAGAAATTGCAATCTTTAATTCCCAGATGAAATGTTTTTAGAAGCATTTCATGAGCATCTAAATGATTTAGGAAAATTGTTTATTTGTTTTAACTGGTGACATAAACTTTAGCATTACAAATAAAGCTGTCAGGTAGGAAGCTATACTGCCAGATTGCTTCCATGAAACAATATACTTTCATGTTTTGTGAAAATAAAATGGCAAATTAAATCTCAAATGAGTTGACAAAAACTTATCTACACATTGACCAAGTTAGAGTAAGAAGTACAATGTTTGCCTAACATCAACGTGGATGCTCAGAGGAACTAAACACAAGGAATTCATTGTAAGGAGAAAAAAAATGAAAAGGCTCTGAGAAAGGAAATAAGTTAAATACAAAAGTGTTGTATGGATATAGCTGGATACTGTAATAAAAATATGGTAAGATTTAGATTTACTGTGATAAATTTTAACTTTAAATGCTTCTATTAATATAAATCAATAGAACTTCGCTTCAGTGGCATAAATTTATACCAGCAAATGCAATGATACCAATTAATACTTTTCTTAATTCAAAGAGCTTTGCCTTTAAATGCATTGGTTATAAAACTATGACTTCATCATGGAATGGGAAACAAAAGTGTTTCCCAGTCTTTAAATGACAGATTTGAAGTATAAAATGTTTAACAATACCAGAACCAAGGCCAAGTCCTTTTGTATTAAATGACTTCAGGTTACGGTATATTGTGTAAAACATGAAAAAAGTTTTTGATAATTATTTAACAAATGTCCATTTAATTGCAGCTCCCCCTTGCACACAGCAGCTGACACATTTAAATTGCACATGCTGAAATCAATTAGCCCTTTAATCAGCACCAGTTTCTTAACTTCAACAGAGTTAAAACATTAAGCAGTGTTACTTATAATTTGGATAGTAGATGGAAAAACTGAACTTTGAAGTAATGCAAATGGGCATTTATAAAGTATCAGCCCACTCCCAAATTAAGTAGTTTTTCTACCTTCAATGATGTCATCTTCTTCTATGCCTTTGACAATTTTAGATTTGTAGTCTCGAAAAAACATGTACTTCAGTAGTCTTCTAAGCTTTTTCTATGAGAAAAAAAAATATTAGTTTGTATCATAAAGATTTATTTTTAATTTAGATTAAACTTATAACACAAATATGCAAATATATTATGTGATACTCAGTAAATATATTTTTATAATGTTCATAATTCCTAATTCTGCAGAAAATCCATATATAACAAGTACAACAAGGTGTTTCTTTGAGCTCCTTGGTACCTTGTTTGCCAACTGTGAGAAAGCAATGCGTTTCACTTTCAGAAAGCTGAAATTGAGGCTTCATTAGGGCACTCCAAAATATTTGCTTTGTTTGGAAATTCAAACCTACAAATGCATACTTCCATGAACTTTGACATCCATATTACCTGCTATTTCCAATATACCCTTACTGATCATGTCAGATAAAGTAATGACAACTGTTTTTCATGTTCTAGGATTTTATTTATTCGGATATGTTTTTGGTCATTTGGTTTCACCCATTAAACAAGGAAAGAAAAACAAAAGTGGGGAAGAAAGGGGGTGGGAGGACAAGGCAAGACAGATGAAGAAGGAATAATGTTGATAAAAACAGCTAGTAAGAATATTTGAATAATTCTGAAATTTGAAGAAAAAAAATGACTTTAATGTTCTTATGGAAAATTACTACTTTTAAATTATTCTACATATTTCACACAGAAAGCATGCCATACCTAAATTTGGAGATTTTAGCGAGATGCAGGAAGAATATTTAAAAGAAAAAGCAAGACAGGATTTACTGACAATATAGACAAAGAAAATGTAACGGTTACACTGTCAAACATGACACCTGCATCTGCACTCTGCATAAATAGGAGGAAATTAGAGTAATTGTTTTTTATAGACATAAAAGGAATATAAAAGATAAGGATCAATCTTTATACTGTTATTAAGAAATTGTTTTGAGTTCTAATGTATATTACCCACTCCAAATGCTAGTGAGAAAATCTACTTGTAATTGAAGTTACTGGAAAAAAAAGAGAATTAATTAACTTATTATGCAATTATTGTACTATGTAGAACAAAATACAGTTGCAGTGCAGCTGTACTTTTTAATGAAGCTATTCATGAGCATGGATTCCTTTCATGTAGGTTAAGCAAACACTTTAAAACAAGATAAGGAGCTTACTATGTCAAATAAGAAAATGCTGTCTTATTACTATACCTTATCTTTGCGCATTAGGAACAGGAGATCTTCAGCAGAGATGACTCGAGCTCCTCTCAGCTGAGAAACTTCAGCTGCTTGCTGTAACTAAAATAAACGAATAAATTAGGATGGCTGTTTCTGTGTTAAAAAAAAATCACTAGGTTTTTAAAATAAGTTCAGATAATATTTTTGCACGGCTGTACATAGCAAAATAAAGCTATGCACTTAAACACAAGCTGGGACTCTCAAAGGTGTCACTCACTCTGCTCTTGTTAGTGGGAAATGGAATAACAATTTTACGAAAAGACTGAAAGACTTTTGACAAATCTCAAGCAAAAGCTTTTTTTGTTTATATTTAAAATGATCACTTTTGAAAAGCACTGCATTACTTTTTTTTTTTTTTTTCTTCCTTGAACCACATTAGCCCAGAAAATGAACATATAATTCTCTCAGGCAATGTAAAAATGCCAAATTCTTGCCATAGCACTTTATCTGCAACTGTTGAAGGATGGCTGATCCCTCTCACAATTTTTTAGAATAACAAATACTAATTTTAAACAGCTTACCTAAGTATTTTTGGAAAGAAACTCTATCTCACTTGACTTATCATTAGTACAAACCATACCCACATGAAGACGTTTTTAGACATACTCTTATTTCATTTGAGAGAAAGAAAATGAATTGATAGGAACCACTGACTCTATTAAAATAATTGAAAAAACACCTATTGAGCAGATCCAGCCATTCAGATATGAAAAAGGTAAATTTATAATGGGATTGAACAATGAATGCCCCCAAATTTTATGAGTGGCAGCAAAACGAGTGTGAAGCAAAGAAGTGTCCTCACCTCTATCGTGACGGTCAGAATGGCAATGATTCTGAAGGCCCCAAACCGCTCAAATTGTTAAAAATAAAGGGCAAAAATCTCTTTGGAGGGGACTTTGATAAGCATCAGCCTTGGACTCAGCTTTCAGTAGGTGCAGGGCTGGTGACTTAGAGGAAGGTGGGCTCACTTACACACAAACATACCACATCAGCGCAACCCAAGACTAGAAACCAAACTTGCACAAGGTGATGCTTATCAAAGTGCTGGGCTAAGGAGGTCAAACCCAAATTGGAAGAGAAGTCAATGGGATTTGCTCCTTCCCTATCCTTTGGTGCTAACTCAAGATGGTGCTGTAGAGTAGGCGCTCTAGAAAGCATGCCTCACACCATGGAATTCACCTTTGCCTCTAGGTTTAAAAACATTGTGCAAAAGGTTGGAATTGGTCATTTCTTTGCTCTTGTCCCTGTTAACCATCTGATGGATGGAATGACTGTGATCCCGGTACAAAAGCTATCAAAAAGAGACATCTTAAATTCTTGATATTAAAACTCATACACACCTGTAACATGAACAGTAAACAGAAAATTCATTTATTTTCAAATATCTCTATAGTCTTCTTTCAGAAATGTATGAATGCACCTGAAAATAATTTAAAGAAATCCTACCCCTCGTACTCACACTAGCAATGGTTTCACTCAGTATCACTGGCTGAATAAGTATATTATTAATCTGAGCTCCCATGCTGCTATGGCTTGAAATAGGCCTATTCAGAAGTTAAAAAGATCAACAAAAACAGTAGCTGTTTCTAATATCCAAAAGGAGGAGAGGGGGGGAAAGATTTTCTTTTTGGCAAGTGTTCAGTGGGCAAAAGATTCAGTCCATAAATCATAATACTGGACTACATTAATTTTTTTCCACACTAATCATATGCATACAAAATGTGAACTGTATCTAGTATGCACAACACAAAACATACTGCAGGAAGAGTTTCAGATTTTCCCCTTGAAACACTGTTGGCCCTTGCAGTCACAAAGACCAGAGAGATTTCAGGAATTCAGAAGTCACAGTAATATAATCTTACTTGAAACTCACTTGAAAAATGTAAGAATGTGAAAAATGATAGTTCTATTTTTTGGCATAAGCAAAACTGTTTCTTATTCTGATTAGTTTGAGGGTACACAGGCTACTTAGATTTCTAACATAAAATATAAAGAGTTGGATAAAAATAAATTTTCCAAGAATGAGACAATATTCATCTCTGGTGTAAATCTATTGCAGTTAATGGATTTATGCCAAGGCTGACTTTGGTTCCACTAAGCTTAAAAGAATTACAAAAACTGACCTTGGCATAGTGATAACACAACACAACTCTTCCCAATACCAGATAAAACAATGGCAGAAATAGCCGCCATCAAAGTATGTTCTACTTTCCTAGTGCATGGGGCTTTAAACTAATGGTTTAAACTGAAAGAGGGGAGGTTTAGATTGGATATAAGGAAGGAGGGTGGTGAGTTCCCCTTGAGGCTGCCTCAAGGAGCTGTGGGTGCCCCATCCCTGGCAGTGCCCAAGTCCAGGCTGAATGGGGCTGGGGGCAGCCTGGGTTGGTGGGAGGTGTCCCTGCCATGGCAGGGGTTGGGACTGGATGGCCTTTAAGGTCCCTTCCAACCCAAACCATTCTGCAAGTCTATAATTCTATATACGACCATATTACAAGACATTAATTTTCTTGTTATATAATTCATAACAGTTAATTTCTCCATGCAGCTGAAATACCTTATTTTTCCAAATGATAAATACTTGACAATGTCATTTAAAGCAAAGATCGTGTGCAAGCTACTGGCAGGAATTCCCAGTGAAGTAAGGGGGATTAAGGATAGGAGGCCAAATTCACGTCCCATTTGCATCTAAGTAAATCCTGAATAACACTGTTTATTTTAATGGAGTTATTCTGGGCTAAACACAAGATCAAAATCTGGAATAATATTCTCAGTTTCTACCAAAACAATGAAAACTTTATTCTCACATTACCTCGACTTTTGCATCTATTTTATTTTAAGTAATGAACCCACAGCATTTAATTTCTTTGGCTTAAAGAAAGCAAAATAGGAAAATAATTACTTCCTGTACAGTTATAAAATATGGATTATTTATCCAAACAGACCATAATGAGTTCTGCATTGGTACACATATTTATCTGGGAAACCAGGATACGCTCAGGTAAATATGTATCCAGGCAATTAAAAAAAAATTACGTACCACACAGTCTAGGTTGGGGGGAAGATGTATTTATAGTTTTAACACACACATAATTGACTCATTCAAACCACAACATGAGTGCTTGGCTATAATTAGTATTATAACAAACTGTCTTATTTGACTGTCCCGGAGTTGCCATTAATATGCAATAAGCCCCGATTCCTTAATTTCCGGAGCTGAAGGCCTCATTGAGTCATTACCGCGGCTGTGTTATGTGATGAAGGGGGACTTGAGGAAGCTGCACCAAAGAAATGATCCACTTCGGAGCACTTGAGCGTTCAGCATCACAGGAAAGCAATTTTCAGCTACGCGACCTTGACGTCCATAGGTCTTTGGCTTGTGGCTGCAGTGGAAGCACTGCGGGCTCCTTCTTCAAGAGCAGTAGGTCTACTGCCAGGGACTCCAAACGATTCTCTCAGGGCTGAGGGAACTTTCCCCACATGCTGTTACAGCTACCCTTCTGGAACAGCAACAGTGGAGACATGGCAAGAAGGTCCCACAAGTCTCCTTTTTTGAGCCTCGGTTCTATTGAGCACCAGTCCCAGAATACAGGGCAGCAGCAGTTCCACCACACTCTGTGGCTTTTCCTAAATTTTGTAATGACTAACGTTATTTAGTCCAGAAAATACCTTATTTTGGATTATCTTAAAGAAGAGTAAGCAATCCAAATCTCTTAGATTCTTAAAGAAAAGCAGGCTAAACTTCCCAGTACCAGCAAACAATATTTCAGACCCCGGAGTCTGAATTTATTTTTTATTACAGCCAAATTATGAACCCCTAAAAATGAAGTTTAAATAACGGAAGTGTTGAAATGACTTTCACTATAGGAGCACAAATAGCTCTGTTAATAATTAGGAGTTTATGAAAAATAAGTGTATTTTACAATTTTTCACATTACAAAGAAAGTAGTATATACAGTAACTATATTTTAAAGTCTAAGAAGAAATGGCTGGGGAATAATATTTTAAAATGTAATCACTGGTTTAATGACTTTATGAAGTTAACTTTCTTGGCAGGATGAACTGAAGTATGTTAACAGTCACCTTACGGCTATTTTCTTTTTGCAACTTTTGCAAATTATAGATTTGTTGAAAGGAGCATTCATTCTCCTATGACAGAAGCACAGTTACTTCAATGGCGCTGTCTGCTTTTTCTCCTAATTATTTTTTCTTCCCCTACCTCCAAAGTCAACAATCACTGATACTTCTACAAAAACGTCTTGATGGACAAACAGACAAAAAGCTGGAAAACAAACACGCTACATTGTGACATAATCCTTCCAGTTAATTTGTAGAATGGAGACGAAATGGTAATGTTTGCATGCCTTCAAGCTGCTGAGAGCCAAGAATAATGCTTCAAGAGCTATGATTTTGTTTTTATTATAGAGGAAAATTAGAACATAGTTCACCTGGCTGAAAATTTCTCTGAGGCAGGAAGGTTGTTTTGTTATTAAATGTGCATTTAAAAGCCTTTTTTTTTTTTCCCCAATCTTTTCTATATCAAAAGTATGCAACTATAAACATACCAATAGAAATTCTGAGTTTAGGTATAGTGCTGTAAATGTATTCTAAGCCAAATGTCCCAATACTTCTCTGAAAGTAATTAAACATATGATTAATTTTTTTCACTTAAATATTTCCCTATAACATCTCACATACATCTGGCTCTGACACCTGACCCTCTAATCCTGACATACGCAGGAAAAACACAAACTCTGTTCCTCAAGGTCAGTGTAGGGACAAGCTTTCTGCACTTCACGCATCCTGAGAGGCTAATCACGTTACGGAGTCTATTAGAGCACTCTACAAGGCAATGATTTAGGATCACCATTCAAGGGTTAAACAGCATGACTAAATCACCTCAAGCTGTCTAAAGCATAAAACCATCACCTGCACATGAAAAGACTATCAATTCTGTCATCCTTAGGTATGTTTTCAGGTCTAGGTATATTTTACTGAAGAGCATTTAATGCATCACCAGGTGACAATGAGTGACCTGAAGCAGATTTACCTTTGCATCCCAT